GGATGGGATGTTGTCACCAGCAGACACAGCCAGCAAAATGTCAGCACAACCCAAGCATATATATGGAGATTGGAGTGGGAGATGATGGGTTGGTTCATTTCATGTTATGAAAACAACAAGCTGATATCTTTAAATGTCTAGATTAAGAAAGAGGCCAGGCTTCAGTGGGTATGTCAATGTGTAAAATTTGTTGTTTTCTTTTGTTGGTTTTGTTAATACCACCAAGTACTAGCTATGAGATAGATCTGTAACCTCTCTGAATTCTGCATACCTGTAGATAATATATTACCAGTTCTGTGTACTACAACTTAATTAATTCCTGGTAAGACAGTAAGGAGTCTTATGTTTCAGAATTTCAATTGTATGACAGATATGTTAAAAAGCATCAGTGTTGTCTTTTAGTTAATCCTTGCGTGTAGAGAAACTCATGGGAATGCTTGATGGAGTCTCCCACCCAACTCCCACCCAACTGAACCACTTCTGTTAACTAAGTGTATAGTAACAAGTATATACCATATATTTCCTTTAATAAGTTTATCTAACTTATATTTTTAATTAAAATACAGTTTAAGAATATATTAATTATATTTTTTTATATTTAGTTTCTATAAAAGATCGCAAAAGTTACCTTATGTGCTTTATTATTACTAATGCTACATACATACTTTTAATTAAATGATTAATAAAATTAAAATTATTTTTTTAACTTTTTAATATAAATAATTATTAAAAAATGTAATAAATATAGTATTACCCATCTGACACAGGTTCCAAAATTATCTTCTTCAATTAATGATTTTTTTTTCTTCAATTAATGATTGAATACTTATATTAGGATAAAGCAACCATGTGCTTTTCTGGATTTTGACCCTGTACACCATTTTAAATCCCCATAAATTAATTACACATTGATGGATAAATACTGCACTTTCCATGGCAGTTCTCAAACTCCAAGTCCCCATCACAGCCGTCGCACTGCTCAAGGACAATATTATCTATTGATGCATCAATGACTATTTGTCAGCTTGCATCTAGTCTTAGCACACCATTATGCAAAATTGGTTATTTATCAGCTTCACGTTCATTGCATTTCAATTGTGTCTGCTATCTCTTCTTAGAATAAACTGCCTCAGTCTGTGACTTTGTTGAGAGAGAAAGAAATTATGGGGAGAGAAGAAAGTGTTAAGGCAGAAGCTGCTTTGCCTCTTTTTGACATCAAACAGGCAAAGGGCAGAGTTTGTCACAGGCTGTTTTCATCCACGGTTTTTTTTGGGATTTGTTTGATTTGGTTTTACAGATTGACAAACATCCCAGGGGCAGGTCAACAAGGAAGATTGTCTTGGATTGGCATGTTCATCTCTGAACTCATGTTCAGTTTCTACTGGATCCTCACTCAACCTGTTCGTTGGAATGTTTCTTATTACTTACCATTCAAAGACAGGCTCCTACACAGGTTTAATTTTTTGATTCAACTTTTGCAGAATATATATATAAATTAATTTTGTTCAACTTCTCTTTATCTGTACTAATAGTAATAGTTATATACTCTTTGGCTGGGATGGGAAATTCAAACTTGGGATTTTTCACAGGATCAAAAACTCTTTGGCTGTTCTCTATATATATATATAAATTAATTTTGTTCAACTTCTCTTTATCTGTATTAATAGTAATATACTCTTTAGCTGGGATGGGAAATTTAAACCTGGGATTTTTTGCAGGATTAAAAACTCTTTGGCTGTTCTTTAATTAGTTCAAGTTCTCAATATTTTATTCTGTTGGTTGTAAAAACAGCTATGAAGACAAGCTACCTGGAGTAGACATCTTTGTCTGTACAGCTGATCCAATAATGGAGCCACCAGCTATGGTGATTAACACCATTTTATCAGTGATGGCCTACAACTATCCTCCTGAGAAATTAAGCATTTACCTGTCTGATGATGGAGGATCAAATTCCACATTCTATGCTCTCTTGGAGGCCTCTCATTTCTCAAAACGTTGGATACCCTTCTGCAGAAAGTTCAATATTGAACCAAGGTCTCCGGAGGCTTACTTTTCTCAGCATTTTGATGCTCAAAACACTGTAAATCCTCGGGAATGGTTGGCCACCAAGGTGACTGGCTTTCTTTTGCTTAGTTTTTAGGCATACTGTATGTAAGAGAATTGATGATTTTTTTTGGTTTGTTTACAGAAACAATATGAAGATATGAAGGAAAGGATACAAGCAGTAATCAATAAAGGTAGTATCTCGGAAGAAATAAAGAATCAACACAAAGGATTCTTGCAGTGGAATCATAATGTGACAAAACAGAATCATCATCCTATAGTGAAGGTAAATGTAGTTCTAACATCAAACCTTCAAAATTTTACACAACTTTTATTTGATTTACTTTGCTCTTTCCAGATTGTTATTGATGGAAGGGACCAGAAATCTGTGGATAATGATGGAATTCAACTGCCAACCCTCGTTTACTTGGCACGGGAAAAGAAACTGGATTGGCCTCATAACTTCAAAGCTGGAGCCATGAATGCACTGGTACTAATTCAAACATGTAGTTGGGAATTGATATTGTTATGAAATAATTTGTAGTTTTTTCATAAATGATATATGCAGATAAGAGTGTCATCTGAGATCAGTAATGGAGATGTCATCCTGAATCTGGACTGTGACATGTATGCAAACAATGCAGACGCCATAAGAGAGGCTCTTTGCTTCTTCATGGATGAACAGAGAGGCCATCAGATTGCTTACGTGCAGCATCCACAAAACTTTAACAACATAATTAAGAATGATATTTATGCAAATAACCCCCATGCAGTCAATAAGGTATGTATTCACAAACAAGAAATTAATTAATTATGCGTGGAATTGAATCATTTTAGTGGACTAATTTTGTACCTTAAGTCATGATTGTATGAAGGTTGAACTTGCTGGATTAGGAGGATATGGAGCAGCCTTGTTCTGTGGAACTGGGTGTTTCCACAGACGCAATAGTCTTTGCGGAAGCAAATACTCTAACGAAAACAAGCAAGTATGGAATGTAAAGACACAAAAGGGTGATAAAAGAAAAATCAATGAATTGGAACAAAGATCAAAAGTTCTTGCTAGTAGTATCTATGAGAAAGGCACTCAATGGGGGAAAGAGGTCTGCCTCTTCCAACTCTTGTCCTTTTTCCTTCTGCTTTTAGTTGTAGTTTAGTGATGAAAATTATCATGTTTATGGTTCCACAGATGGGATTGGTATATGGGTGTCCAGTTGAAGACATTGTTACTGGCTTGACAATCCAGTGCAGGGGCTGGAAATCAGTTTATTACAATCCAGAGAGGGAGGCTTTTCTAGGTGTTGCTCCAGCAACATTAGACATATCTCTTATTCAGTTCAAGAGGTGGTCTGAAGGAATGTTCCAGATTTTCTTCTCAAAGTATTGTCCCTTCATTTATGGACATAAGAAGATAAAACTGGGTGCTCAGATGGGATACTGTATTTATCTTTTATGGGCTCCACTTTCGCTCCCTACTCTGTATTATGTCATTGTTCCTCCTCTTTGTCTTCTCCAGGGCATCCCTCTCTTTCCAGAGGTATTAATTCCCTCTCTTTGTCTTGCATTTAACCATTAACATATAAAACATACTAATGACTACTAAATGTATTGTCTCAGGTTTCAAGCCCATGGTTCATACCCTTTGTGTATGTGTTCCTATCCAGGAATATTTATAGCATAGTTGAAGCTTTAAGATGCGGCAGCACTATTAAGGCCTGGTGGAACCTGCAAAGGATGGTGATGATTCGGAGAACTACTTCCTTCTTCTTTGCATTTGTCGACACCATCATCAAGAAGCTAGGATTATCCCAGACAACATTTGTCCTAACGGCAAAGGTGGCAGCGGAGGATGTCTCAAAGAGGTATGAGCAACAGGTCATGGAGTTTGGAAGCTCCTCGATCATGTTTACCCTCATAGCAACACTTGCAATGCTAAACCTCATCAGTCTAGCTGGAGCAGCATTTAAGACTGTTATGCCTGTGGAGTACTTGAAGGAGATGGAGAGGTTAATCTCGCAAGTTGGTGTTTGTGCTTTAGTGGTTATGTTAAATGCTCCGGTGTTCGAAGCACTGTTCCTTAGGAAGGATAAAGGACGCTTGCCTTTTTCTGTTATGTTCAAATCTGTTGTCTTTGTTTCATTGGCATGCCTCATACCCGTAAGATAAAATAATAACAGTTATAAATGTCGTTCTTAATAAAAATATAACACTCATTGCGGAGGAGTATGTAGTACTATATTTTTTAATAATTATCAATAATAATAGTACTGCAATTTTTATGAGTAATTGAGAAGGCTAATCGCCCATTAGGCATTGGATGCCACTTGTTAAGTACATTCATTCTCTACTTTGCAAACGTTCACACATGTCAATTATAACAGCAGGACATTTCCAAATTCTATTAGAAACTAGGGTTGGATCCGGTTCGATTTTTATCTAAACAAAATAAAATTAATATTAGAACTTCTTTTCTTTTTCTTTTTCTTTTTTTTTTTTTAATTTTTTGGCAACCAGAATTGACCTAAAAGTGTTTATGGATTTTTGGTTCAATGACTAAAATAATTGATTTTAACTTATCGATTATCACTTATAACTAAATTAACAATGAATGCCTATTATAAATTTAACAATTGCTATACTTAACAAAAATTTGAAATTTTTAAGGGATATAATTATAAAAAAATGTAAAAAAAAAAAAAAGAGTAAAATCCCTAATTGCAACTCTTGGAAATCCTTAATCACCCCCATCTTGGAAATCCCTAATCATAATCCCAAATTGTTACCCAAAAAAATCCCTAATTGCTGTAACTCAGACATAATGGAAAGTGAAATTGGGAAGAAAGTAAGATGGTTGATGATAACGAAGATGACAAGGCAACTTTAGATCAAGAATTGCAACAACTACGTGCATGGTAGGAAAAACTTAGCATTGATTAGTGTTTTTAGGTCGGACCTGGTGGTTGACGCATTTTGGCCACCAAGTTCACTTCAATTGGTTGGATCGGTTTACTCGATCGGTCCAACCGGTCAACTAAAAAAACACTTTTTTTGACCTTTTTTTTTTTTTTTTGAACATGGGAGAATGTGGGGGAATGGAAATAATTTGGTTGCTATTATAGCGAATGGAACTCTGGCAAATGCCAGGAGTTCAAAACACCTGAATCAAGGCAACCAAAGCTGTAGGTGCTTTACATTTAATTAACATTAAAAAGCCCAATTGATTCAGCTCGGTGGATTTGAGTGCGTTAGGCAGAATCAATGGGCTTAGTGGGTTGGGTGGGTTTTAAACGGGTCAATTGACAAAACAAGCTAAGGTATGCAACTGGTCCATTTTCAAGCCCGAGTCCAACTAAACTAGTTCAATCGACCAGCTAGGCCAAGCCCAAAAACACTGGCACCGATTATGAAATAGTTTTTCTTTTTTTTCTTTTTTTAGTCATTTTTGTTTAAGCTATCTTTTAGTTTTCTTTTGGCTTTACACAATCCTTTATTTACATATTTAATTCTAAAGAGGAAATATTATGCATGGAGTACTTGTAGATCTTGTCAGAGCAAAGAAGATTGTAGCTTGCAATGCACTGCACCAAAATTCTTCAAGATTTGGGCATTCCACTAAGGACAGGTATTCGTTGAAATTGTTTTCAAATTTTAATTAGCATTTTCTTGCCTTGAATTCTTGAAACTTTATATGCATTTAGTGTTGAAATCACACTACATGAGTATTGGAAGGAAGGACACTAATATAAAGATATAAATGCTCAGCTGGTAAGTTTTACCAACTTTATTGATACTTGAGTTCCACTAACATTTAATATGTTTTTTTGGTTTATAGTTTTTTTGCTTCCTTCTGTTTTTAGGGGCCAATACAACAAGCTACCAAAAGGTTGTTGAAGACGAGGAATTTGTTAATGCGGGTTCAAATGCTACAAAGATTTGGTAAGAAATGACTTTTCTATTTACTTGAGATTTATAATCACTTCCACCCAATTTAGTACTAGAAATTACTCAGCTACATCCACTCTTTGTTTTTGAAGCCAATGTTGGTGGAAGTGCAACTAAAAGATTACCACAGTATCAAAGTTTTATTCATGTGCATGAAGCCAATATCAGAAAAATAAATCTTTGTCTTTATAAATCTTACTTAATATGTGTGATTTCATATATAACTTTTATGGTTAGTTTTCATATATATCTTTCATATGTATGAAATCATGCATATGAACAAATTTTTTATACTAAGTTAATCTTTTTTGTTCACTTGCACCAACATTGGCTTCAAAAGCAAAGAGTGGATGTAATTGAGTAATTTCTAGTATCGAATTGGATGGAAGTGATTATAATCTCAAGTAAATGGAAAAATCATTTCTTACCTGATGCTTGTAGCATCTACATCTGCATCAACAAATTCCTATCTTCAACAACCTTTTGGTAGCTTCTTGTATTGGCGCTTGAAAACAAAAACAGAAGGAAGCAAAAAACTATAAAGCAAAAACAAATATTAAATGTCAATGGAACTCAAGCATGAATAAAATAGGTGAAACTTACCAACCAAGCATTTATATCTTTATATTCTTGTCCTTCCTCCCAATACTCATATTTTTTGGTTTCAATACTAAATGCATGAATTCAAGGAAAGAAAATGCCCTATAAAATTTGAAAACAGTTTCAAAGATCACCTCTAATAACCAAATTTTGAAGAATTTTGGTGTAAGGCATTACGGGCTACAATCCTCTCTGCTTTGGCAAGATCTACAACTACTCCATGCAAAATATGTAAAGTCAAAAAAAAAAAAAAAAAAAAAAACAGCTTAAAACGAAAATGACTATAAAAGAAAAAGGAAAAACCTTTTCATAATTAGTGCTCAGTTTTTCCTTCCATGTAAGCAGTTGTTGCAATTCTACTGCAATTCTTGATCTAAGGTTACCTTGTCCTCTTCTTCATATGACTCATCTTCCCAATTTCACTTCCCACTATGTTTAAGTTATATCAATTTGGGATTTCTTTGGGTAGAAATTTGGGATTAAGATTAGGAATTATTTTTGGTAATTGCAATTAGGGATTCTTTTTTTTTTTGGTAAAAACTTGGGATTGTGATTAGGGATTTCTGGGATGGGGGTTGTTTGGGATTCCTAGAAGTTGCAATTAGGGAAATTTGTGGGATGGAGCAATTTTCAACTATGGGTTTTTGGGGTAAACAATTTCTGGGTGGAGAAATGGGATTTCTCATATGAATGTGTGAATTGGGAAGATAGCAAGTACAGTTGATGGAATCGATAAGTGAAAAAGGGGTCTGATTTATAGTGAGAAGATATTTGGCTGTGTCAGCTAATGAAGAGCGCTAATGAGTGTGTGAGATAGACATCCTCATTATCATCTAATTGGGGTTGGGGTTCAAGATTTCAGAGGTTGATTCAGTGCATTGCCAGCCACTAGACAAAACCGATTGCTTTCTCATGCTAGAATGGATAAATAAGAGTAAAATCCCTAATTGCAACTCCTAGAAAATCCTTACTTGCCCCCATCCTGGAAATCCCTAATCATAATCCCAAATTGTTACCCAAAAAAATCCCTAATTGCTGCAACTTAGACATAATGGATAGTGAAATTGGGAAGAAAGTAAGATAGTTGATGATAACGAAGATGACAAGGCAACTTTAGATCAAGAATTGCAACAACAAAGTGCATAGAAGGAAAAACTGAGTGTTTTTAGGTCGGACCTGGTGATTAACCCATTTTGGCCACCAAGTCCACTTCAATTGGTTGGATCAGTTTACTTGATCGGCCAACCAGTCAACTAAAAAAACACTTTTTTTGACATTTTCATTTTTTATTTTTTGAACATGGGAGAATGTGGGGGAATGGGAATAATTTGGTTGCTATTACAGCAAATGGAACTCTGGCAAATGTCAGGAGTTCAATACACCTGAACTAAGGCAACCAAAGCTGCAAGTGCTTGACATTTTTATTAGATTTTACTCTTTCACTCTATTCTAAAAAAAAAAAGAAAAAGAGAGAGATAGAATGGGTAAATTACATTAAAAATTAAAAAAAAGTTAATTTAATTAACATTAAAAATCCCAATTGATTCAACTCAGTGGATTTGAGTGGGTTAGGCAGAATCAATGGGCTTAGCGGGTTGGGCGGGTTTTAAATGCGTCAATTGACAAATCAAGCTAAGGTATGCAACCGGTCCATTTTCAAGCCCGAGTCTGATTACACTAGTTCAATCAACCGACTGGGCCAAGCCCAAAAACACTGACACCGATTTTGAAATAGTTTTTCCTTTTTCTTTTTTTAGTGATTTTTGTTTAAGCTATCTTTTAGTTTTCTTTTGGCTTTACACAATCCTCTATTTACATATTTAATTATATAGAGGAAATATTATGCGCGGAGTACTTGTAGATCTTGTCAGAGCAAAAAGGATTGTAGCTTGCAATGCACTGCACCAAAGTTCTTCAAGATTTGGGCATTCCACCAAGGACAAGTATTCCTTGAAATTGTTTTCAAATTTTAATTAGCATTTTCTTGCCTTGAATTCTTGAAACTATATATGCATTTAGTGTTGAAACCAAAATATATGAGTATTAGAAGGAAGGACAATAATATAAAGATATAAATGCTCAATTGGTAAGTTTCACCAAATTTATTAATGCTTGAGTTCCACTAACATTTAATATTTGTTTTTGGTTTATAGTTTTTTTTTGCTTCCTTCTGTTTTTAGGGGCCAATACAACAAGCTAGCCAAAAGGTTGCTGAATACAAGAGGAATTCGTCAATGCAGGTTCAGATGCTACAAAGATTTGGTAAGAAATGACTTTTCCATTGACTTGAGATTTATAATCACTTCCACCCAATTTAGTACTAGAAATTACTCAATTACATTCACTTTTTGTTCTTGAAGCTAATGTTGGTGGAAGTGCAACTAAAAAATTACCACAATATCAAAATTTTGTTCATGTTCATGAAGCTAACATCAGAAAAATAAATCTTTATATTTATAAATCTTACTTAATATGTGTGATTTTATATATATCTTTTATGGTTGGTTTTCATATATATCTTTCATATTTATGAAATCACACATATGAACAAATTTTTGATACATTAGCTTCAAAAGCAAAAAGTGGACGTAATTGAGTAAAATTGGATGAAAGTGATTATAAATCTCAAGTAAATGGAAAAATCATTTCTTACTTGATCCTTGTAGCATCTACATCTGCATCAACAAATTCCTCATCTTTAGCAACCTTTTGGCTAGCTTCTTGTATTGGCTACTAAAAACAAAAACAGAAGGGAGCAAAAAACTATAAAGCAAAAACAAATATTAAATATCAATGGAACTCAAGCATGAACAAAGTAGGTGAAACTTACCAACCAAGCATTTATATCTTTATATTCTTGTCCTTCCTCCCAATACTTATATTTTTTGGTTCCAATACTAAATACATAAATTCAAGGAAAGAAAATGCCATATAAAATTTCAAAACAGTTTCAAAGATCACCTCTAATGACCAAATTTTGAAGGATTTTGGTGTTAAGGCATTGCGAATTACAATCGTCTATGCTTTGGCAAGATCTACAACTACTCCATGCAAAATATGTAAAGTAAAATAATAATAATAATAATAATAATAGCTTAAAATGAAAATGACTATAAAAGAAAAAGGAAAAACCTTTTCATAATCGGTGCTCAGTTTTTCCTTCCATGCAAATAGTTGTTGCAATTCCATTGCAATTCTTGATCTAAGGTTACCTTGTCATCTTCTTCATATGACTCATCTTCCCAATTTCACTTCCCATTATGTTTAAGTTATAGCAATTATGGATTTCTTTGGGTAGAAATTTGGGATTAAGATTAAGAATTATTTCTGGTAATTGCAATTAGAGAATTTTTTGGGTAAAAACTTGGGATTGTGATTAAGGATTTCTGGGATGGGCTAGTTTGGGATTCATAGGAGTTGGAATTAGGGAAATTTGTGGGATGGAGCAATTTTCAACTATGGGTTTTTGGGGCAGACAATTTCTAGGTGGAAAAATGGGATCTCTCATATGAATGTGTTAGTTAGGAAGCTAGCGAGTATGGTTGATGGAATCGATAAGTGAAGAGGGGGTCTGATTTATAATGAGAAGATATTTGGTTATGTCGAAGAATGAAGAACGCTAGCGAGTGAGTGGGATAAACATCCTCATTATCATCTAATTGGGGTTAGGGTTCAAGATTTCAGAGGTTAATTCATTGCATTACCAACCACCAGACAAAACTGATTGCCTTATCATGCTACAATGGAGAATAAGCAACGTCTTCCCCTATTCTAACAACCTAATTTGCCTCCAATGACAGAGGGAATTCAAATCTTGAGGCTAAATTTAATTTTTCATCTATTAGCTATAATCCTCTTATCACTTTAGTTTACAAAGTATTTTTTTCTCCTAGTTTCATCTATTTAACTTTGAAAATTATATCATATTAGTCTACCTAACAAAATTTTGTTAAGTTTTGTGCCTTCCTCATTATGTTGGAGCTTAGGATGATTGAAAAATGGAGTTTTTTTTCCCTTTTTTTAAATAAAATTATATAGGATTCCTAAAGTTCTAGTTGCTTGAAATTTTGAAAAAAAATTATTAATTAAAAAGAAATGTAATACTTATGTGGCAGCCAATATCGTCTTACACTGATATCCACCTAAGCAATGACATAGAGTTTTATCAAAAAAAATACTAACAAAGTTTTATTAGGTGGACCAATTTGATATTGTTTTAAAAGTTTATAAATGAATTTGGGAGAAAAAATATTTTGTAAACTAAAGTGATTAGAGAATAATATTTAATAGACAAAAAAATTAAATTTAGCCCAAATCTTGATACCATGGGCTTGTGTTAAGCAAACAATTAGGTCTAATAGCCCAACCATGACACCATTTCCTAGCCCAATTATTGACACTCAACTTTCAAGAGATTTAAAATAGCAAAAGAACCACCTTCACAGAGCATGACGTCTGTTTGAAAGAAACTCTCTTTCTTTGAGAAACTATCACCTTTTGTTGCTTTGACCTATTCGGAGGAATAGAATCTATTGGATCGAAGTGTTAAAAAGATTAAAGACTCTATGTTAGAGACCACAAAGTTGAACCAAACCCCTACTGAAGGGAGTAGATCATGGGCTGACCAAGTCACTCTCCAAGTTCCACAAGAGTTGCAAATGGATGAAGTTGTTCTGGTTGTACTTGGAACATCCTACGAAGACAAACTTCTAGTGGTGGAAAGCCCATTAGTTATCTGATTCTCTACTATCCCAAAATATATGGATAAAGACTCAGATCTTGATGAAGATCTTGATGCTTCCATTGTCCTCTTATCTAAGATAGAGAAGAGGAATGAACACAATTATAATTAAACCATTTCACCACAAATCTTTAGGATATAATTATGTTTTTCCTTGGGTTAAAGCTCAATGGAAACCTGTGGGAAAATGAGATTTTATTGATTTGGGTCTTGATTTTTTTTCTTGTGCATTTTCAGGATATGGCGGACCTCAGTCGAGTCATCCAAGGTGGACCTTGGTTTATTAGCTCTTATTTCTTCACCATTGACAATGATACATACTGCACTGTCTTCAAGCTTTGCAATGGTGAATTCTTGAGTCACAACCATGTTCTTTTAGTTTCCTTTTTTTTTTTTTTTTTGTGATATTTACTAACTTTAAATCCCATTCTGTTTGTAGGAAAAGACCTACAATTTACTCTGAAGATAGTGCGTACTTTTGCAGAAAATGAAGCAAGGGTACTTATTTCACAGATTTTGCATGGCCTTGCATATCTTGATGGACGAGAGGAGAGGATCATACATTATGACCTCAAACTCGCCAATATACTCTTAGTTGATGGAGTTGTAAAGATATCTGACTTTGGCCTTTGTAAGGTCATGGAGGTTGGATCTGAGAGTCTAGAGCTGACTTCCCCTGGAGCAGGAACTATTTGGTGAGTTCATAACAATTTTGCCAAAACATTCAAAATATCTAGATTACTTGCTTTGTTCCTTGAATAACTTCACTCTAATATATATTTCAAATTTTAGGTACGTACCTCCAGAGTGCTTGGTGGGAGGTGCAAACAGTCAAATTTCAACAAAGGTTGGTTCGTCTTACTTTGCCTGGATTTTTTTCAGGATTTTCCTTTTGATTTTAACGGTAGATTTACTGGAGATTTTTCTAGCCTTTGTTCATTTTTTGTATTTTGATGACAATAGATATAGTTGCATTCTGATCTTGGTGGTCTGATGTCTACAGTTTAGTGTATTGTGTTGCATCTGATCTGAAACCTTTGTTGGGGATGAGATTCCATTTATAATGCATAAAGAATGTCTGTCATTGATGTTAAAGATGACACATCTCTAGTTTCTTAGGCTAAAGCAATTACTGTAATAGAAATTATTATCAGCTATCAAATTGCTGATTATTGATTCTGTGTGGTTCACTCTTTCTTTTTTTACAATTTGCACCTATACTGTGTCTCAGGTGGATGTATGGTCTGCTGGAGTGGTGTTTTATGAACTCCTGTTTGGGAGAGTGCCCTTTGGTTTTGGGGCTGGTAAATCACGAGACATAATACGGAAAGAAATTATTGACAATGCACTTCACTTTCCAACCACTCCTGAGATCTCTCTTGAGGTGAAGGTAAGTTTTTTTTTTTTTCAAGTATTTTCCAGAAATATGGTTGTTATGTATGGCTTTGTAAGTTTTGTAAAATTGCAAGCTTTCATACGAGACTGCTTGACCTATGAACAAGCTTTGAGGCCGAGTGCTGGCACATTGGTTCAAAATCCATACCTAACACTTTCCAGGCCAAATGTAGAGTGGATGGGACCAGAATCAAGTTTATTTTTTGTACACTAATGACAAATGACAATGGATGAAGTTACGCTGAGGTAGGTGTTATGTCTTTTTTTTTTTTTTTTGGTTATATCCGGCACTAGATCTATGAGGTCTGAAACTTGGATGGCAATTGATTTGCAATGCAGCTAAAACCAAGGCTAAAACAATTGTTGTAGCAGATCTTGTACTTGCTGCTACTAAACTGTACCATAATATCATAAAAAATAGGTTTTGAAATTTTGGAGACTTTTGGTTTTGTGTAAATGGTTGTTTGGTCTTGGTCTATGATTGTTAATTCCAATGTCTCAGGCTTTATGGTAACACAATGTTTCCAATAGCTTTAATCAACTAGACCTTCCTCCTTGGAACTATTAAGGAAAGCAAATGCCCTTCATGAAGTCCTCTATGAATTTCTAGATTTAGAAGATCATGGAGTTGTAATTGTAAATATTATATTTATATATTGTTTCCTAGTTAGAATAGGTTCTACAATTATATTTTTTGGCTTTGGATGACGGCAGTTTCTGTATACATATCATATCACAGTCCCTAAAAATACCGGATGAATGTGCTAGGAGATACGATCATAGGGAGCTGGGACTCAACTAAAAAAAAGTGAATACTCAAAAGGGTTTATGTACATAGTTCAGGGGCTTAACGTAAATGGCGTGGCCAAGGAAAGTTGGTTAAAGTACCATTTTGGTCCCTCAACTTTTCATTTTGACATCAAAATTGTTCCTCAACTTTAAAAAGTATCAAAATTATCCTTAAACTTTCATTTTCGATACCAAAATGGTCCTTCCGTCAGTTAATTGCACATATGACACGTTATCTTGCCACAAAATCACATTTAAAAAATAATAATAATTATGTGAAAAACAAACTTGATGAGATGACATTTTTCTTTTTTCACGTGGCATTTTGTTCTTATTTAAATAAAAACCCACATATTATTATATTATTCATCTTCTTCTTCCTCCTTTCTTCTTTCTCATCCCTTCGCTCTTCCTCCTTCCTAGCCTTCTTCCTCCGCACCGATGAATGGGTTTGCTCAGCAGGCAGAGAGCATGAGTGAAGGGATGGCGAAGACTGTCATGAGCAGGTTCGAGCCGGGTAGAGTTCTGATTTACACTGAGTTGGCAAACGAGTTTGCTGTGTTCGATCGGTGCTCACGTTAGTTCCCACGTCAACTCAGCCGAACCTGTTCTACGCCCACTCAACCATTTCGTTTGGAGCCATGAGCAACGTGAGGAAAGACCTCATCCATGGATTCCCCCAAAAACGATCTTTGATTCCCTCGAAGAAAATGGAGATCTAGGTTTGAGAAAACTCAGATCTGGGTTTGAGAGAACCCAGATCTCTCAAACCCAGATCTGGGTTTGAGAAAACTCAGATCTGGGATTGAGAGAACCTAGATCTGGGTTTGAGAAAACCCAAATCTGGGTTCTCTCAACCCAGCTTCAACACCAGCTGCGCCTTCCTTTTGGCTCTCACTGTGCACTCGCTCTTGCTCAAAAGAATGCTTTTGCTG